AAAAAAAAAAAAAAAAAAAGAAGGGTCCCAGCTCTTCTCGAGGGGAACCAGTGAGTTGAGGTGCATAGGAAAATACTGTTACCAAATTAGTAAAATATTTTGTTGTTAAAGTACCATATTTAAAGTGATTATTTTTCAGGAAAGTGCTTTAACACAAATCACTGAAGAAATGCAGGGAGAACATATATGCACTGACACTTTTTTTATTGTTGCGACAAGGCCACTCATTACCGGAATGCAACCACTGCCATCGCAAATTCATGGATGTGTCTCAGCTAAAGAAACATATGCGAACACACACAGGTAAAACTCCATCTCACCCATCCTCCCTGGTGAACTTGATGTTTTCAGGAGTGTGAGGAGTGAAGTTCTTTGAGTCCCCTCCTCAGCCTGTATTTGGAAATGTTTATTGTAAATTTGGTGGGAGTTTTATAAGTAGGTTGTCTAAATGCCCAAGGTAGAATGCTATCAGCACTGTCTGGGAAAATCACATCTTGTAGGTTAGCAAAACCTACAAAAGGAGATCACTTACTGAGTACTATGCATATGTGAAAATTCATTTTATACCACAAAATGTATGAGTCTGAGTATGGTTCTTGGTTTCACTTTTCATTTACTGAAGCATTGAAAATTCTAAAGAAAATTTTTTTAGAAAAGGAAGCAAAATGAAACAGACACTAAGGTAGCATAGATACTGAGAATTTTTTCAGTTTCTGCCCTAGCATCAGCACTTACAACTTAAGCATCACCACCTCCAGAAAAATCAGCTTCAGGGATGAAGAGGAGGCAGGATTGAGTAGAGCAGATCAAATTTTTTTCAGAAAAGTAAAAATGTGGTTCTTTTACACCTTTTAGTAAGGAGCACATATTAGCAATAAGCCTGTTAGATTTGTTAAGAAAAACTTTCCATTATAGGTTAATTATTTAATGATTCTATTGCCTACTAAAATTATATATCACATTGGTTTATGGTGCTTTGGACATTCTTTTTTAAAATATACGTTTTGCTTAAAGTCAGTAAATGTCTCATAGGGTATGAATTTTATGAAAACAGGCTCTATACAGTCTGTCTGCAGACATTATCATTAATAGGTTCTGTGAAATTTAATTTGTCCGTTGACCACGTACTAAGCAGTTACTGGGAGCCAGACACTGTTTCAGGCCCCGAGGATGCGGCAGTGAAGGAGATGGACAGGGCGCCTGCGTTGAGGGGCCGACACTCGAACAGAGGAGACTGAAAGCAAACGTGTAACACGTCAGTTGGTGTGAGCACTATGAGGAGTAAAACGCCGCGTACAGGCAGGGGAGCTGCTCTTGTATGGGAGGACTGATTTGGGAAGGCATCATGGATGAGGTGGGATCTCGGCTGGAGATCAGAATGCAGTGGTGGAGCAGGCTGTCCAGGAGAGGGCATTCTAGGCAGGGGGACAGCAGGCCCAAGCCCTCAGGCAGGAGTCTCTGTGACCTGCTGGAGACATGCGGGAGGCAAGAATGCCAAGGCAGAGCAAGGCTGGGAGTGGGAGGGGGTCAGAGATAGCTGGAGCCCATGTGGTCCAGGGGTTCTCAGGGTAGCCACATGCTTCAGTCAGTCACCCGAGAGGCTTTTTTTTTGAACTCCCAAAATTCTGACTGACTTGACTTGGGGTGGAGCTTCAGAATTGGATTTTTGAAAGTACCCCTCCGTAATTCTAATATGCACTCAGCCTTAAGGACTTTAGATTTTATTCTAAGTGAGGTAGCTTTACTGAGACAAGTGATATGACATGACTTAGAATTGCAGTAGGATCACTTCAGCTACCGTGTGGGCTGGGGTGAGGCAGTGATGGAGACACAGTGGACCGTCAGAGGCCCTACCAGGCTATGGCAGTAGTCAGGGGCTTGGCACAGTGCGGTAGCAGTGGAAGTTGTGGCAAGTGGTCCAGTTCTGGATATATTCTAAGGGTCAATGTTATTTGCTTATTATTGGATGAGAAGGCAGAAGCAACGAGAAGGACTTAGATTGTGGTTCCATTGGGTCTGAAATGTCTAATTTCTTTTTTTTTCCCCACCTCAGAGACAGAGTCTCACTGTACTGTCCAGGCTGGAGTGCAGTGGCTATTCACAGGCACAATTATAGCTCAATACAGCCTCATGCAATCCTCCTATCTCAGCCTCCGAATAGCTGGGACTACAGGCACACACCACTGCACCTGGCCTGACATGTCCATTTGCCGTCCAACTACAGGTGTGGAACAGGCAGTTGGATATTCGAGTTTAAGGGAGAGGTGCAGGGAGAGCTCTGGGTTTACAGACGTACACATGTGCCTGTAAATAGTGAATGGAGCTGTGATGGGGCTCCCTAGGGAGACGGTGGATGGGGGAGAGCCGAGGTGGCTTGGTCATGCTGAGCAGTGCCGGAGAGGAGGCGCCTCCCCTTGGTTTTGCCTCCTGGGCATAAGTGGGAGTAAGGCTTCTGGTCTTTGTGTGGACCAGTAGGCTTGAAGTGGGGATGAAAGGAACAGAAGTCTTAGCCTCTACAATTCCAGGGAACCCTTCTCAGCCTGTCTACTTTGAGGAGAAGCAGAAGAGGAAAGTGGAAGATGTGTGGTAGGTAAAAAAGGAGACAGAAGGGACTTTGTAAAGTGGTTGGCATGACTTAGAAGTAAGAAAAGAAATCAAACCCTCAAAAAAAATGGGCCTCTTCAAGGTCAGGAACTATGACCCATCTGTCTCCCTGGCAGCAGCACAGAGAATTGATGTCGGCGTTGCAGGGCGTTAGCGTACTGGTTCCCGCACCCGGCTAGTTTTGTTTCTGGAGGACGTGAACGACCTGTCATTGTATGTGCAGTGTGTAAACTAACACTGAATAAACACTTACGGGGTTTTCTGTTCTCTTTTTATATATGAAAGAGTATTTTAATTCTTTAGAAACTACAAAGAATATACATGATTGGGAATTGAGACTGTACCAAATAATGGCCAAAGAAGAGTCCTCCTTCGCTTTTGCCTGGTCACTCAGAAATACAGTTATTATCAGCTGTGATCGTTGTTGCTTCTCACCTCACATTATTTTTATCCACGTATTCACCATAGTCTACTTTCCCTTCCACATAAATTCAAGACCCCTTTTTCCACATACTGATACACCACATCTCTGGGGCCTGGCCAGAATGCTGATATTCTATGCCGTGTTGCCTTTTGACTGACATCACCCATTTGGTATACTTCACTGTCCCCTGATGACCACATCTCATTTGTTGCTAGAGAAAATATTGTGACTGGATTTTTTCCTTCCACCTGTCTCATTACAGGGTCCTGACCCACTTGCCCAAGTAATTACACACAATTCAGGGATCTCTTAAGAACCAAAGTGCTAGCTATTTCAGACTCATGTCTTACAAACTCATGAAATGCCCATAATACAAGTCTTCAAAACACGGCTTCTGTTTTCTTTTCTTACAATCTAATCTTAGACTCTTTCTGATGCTCCAGCCCTGACCGAATAAACACTCGTTAATGGCAGAGAAGCATAGTAGGGTCTGGAGCAGTTGCGACATCCCGTGTGGGCCTTAGTCCACCCTGTGAAATTCACTGATCAGCAGGGGTTTGTGGAGCGGCATGCCTGGGGTACTAGAAGTGGACATACCCACAAATTATCTTACAGAAGAAGGGGGGTAACATATACAGGGTATGAGATGGTGATGGCATTGTGGACAAACGAAGTCAGGGAAGTGGACTAAAGAGTGCCGCGGGCAGTGGCGGGTGGTGCTCTGCGTGGTGACGGAGCCTTACTGGGTTAAGCAACGGGTGAACATGGACTGGAAGCAGATAAGGCGAGTGCACCTCCCTGGGAGACACCCTGAGATGAGGTCAGGGAGTTTGGGGTGAGGAGTAGGGTGATCCCTTGTAGGTCAAGGACTTGGGCTTTTATCTCAGAATGAGAAATCATTGGAGTGTTTGCAGTCCAACTGTGAAATGAGGTGACTGCATCAGTGCTCACGCTGGTGGCTGCTGGAGGTGGTGAGCAGTGGTCTGATTCTCGATATATGTGGAAGGTAGACATAAATGTGATTAATACTAAAATCACCCTAGTGCCCAGGAGTCCTTCTGGGGTCAAATGGACTACCTAACCAAGCAGTAAGGCAGGAGAGCAGAAGCTCCTGTTATATCGGGGGTTGGGGGTGCAGGGGGAGAATACAGGAATAAATACGGTGCCTTCCTTTGTTTCCTGTGTGTGCAAACTTACCTCCTTATTTTAGTTTTCAAGTTTTTGAGGGAAAGAACCATAACTTCTGCTTTCTCTGATCCTGTTGGCACTTAGCACACAATTCTTAGGTCCAGAGGAGGTATTAGGTGAGTGCTTCGTTCATTCATGCTTGTGGAGGATGTTGCCTTTGTTCTTTTTATAGAACAAACTATGTGAAACTGTGCAGTGGTTTTTGTTTTATGTTGAATGGCTGTTTCTAAATGCTTTCCTTTTTTTTAGGTGAGAAACCATTTACTTGTGAAATCTGTGGCAAATCTTTCACAGCAAAGAGTTCTCTTCAGACCCACATCAGAATCCATCGGTAAAGTTTTGCAGATATTTTTCTCACATAGAGGTCTCAACTTTCACTTCTGGCTTTCAGTGGGATGACATGTGACACCTGCATAGTCCTTTCCCCTAAATTAATACTCTGAATTTTCCGTGTAGTTTATTATTTTGGTTTATCTTTTCAATAATGAAATTCCTCACTTAGGCAAAATCAGGACTACTGATTCAGACCAGTAAAAGTTTGCATTATTGATTTCATTTACTGACTTTTGATTTGGGGCTGGGGGTTGGTCCAAACCTTAAATCTTCAATCAAAAATAAATATTAAATTTAATGTTATATTACTCCCAGGTTGGACTTAAAAGGGCTTCTAATAGCATCACAAATAATTAGGGGCTGCTCAAATTTTTAAATTGACATCAATCGTATATACTTATTTGACCACTAGAGTCTTAAACTTGCCTGTGAGTACTAAACAAGGCAAAAAAGAACTATATATGTCAAGTTTAAATATTTACTTTCTTATCCAAAATACATACTGTGGAATCATAAAATTTTATCACATCTAGCCCAGTCCCATCCACTACCCTTCCTCAAGCACCACCTCCTCCTTTTTTCTAAGATTAGAAACTGAAGTCCATGGAAATGTGACTTGCTTCAAGTCCTCAAGTTAGTAACAGAACTTGTGACTTATGACTTAAAGCCTAGTTAATTTTCCTCTATTCTTGATTACTTCTCCCTGAATAATCAGGAAGTAATAAATAAGTGTTTCTATTTTTAAAAGAAAATGTATATTTTCTTGTAGAGGAGAAAAGCCATACTCATGTGGCATTTGCGGCAAATCCTTCTCTGACTCCAGTGCCAAGAGGAGACACTGCATTCTACACACCGGCAAGAAGCCTTTCTCCTGTCCTGAGTGTAACTTACAGTTTGCTCGCTTAGACAACTTGAAGGCTCACTTGAAAATCCATAGCAAAGAGAAACATGTGTCAGATGCCAGCAGTGTTTCTGGCAGTGGTAATACTGAAGAGGTCAGGAATATTCTTCAGCTACAGCCATATCAACTCTCTACCTCGGGAGAGCAGGAAATTCAGCTTCTTGTAACTGATTCTGTACATAACATCAATTTCATGCCTGGTCCTAGCCAGGGAATCAGCATTGTCACTGCAGACAGTTCCCAGAACATGACCGCAGACCAAGCTGCAAATCTTACCTTGCTCACACAGCAGCCAGAACAACTGCAGAATTTAATTCTTTCGGCTCAACAAGAGCAAACAGAACACATTCAGAGCCTCAATATGATGGAAAGCCAGATGGAGTCCTCACAGACAGAGCCAGTGCACGTAATCACACTGTCCAAGGAAACCCTGGAACATCTTCACGCCCATCAAGAGCAAACAGAGGAGCTCCACTTAGCAGCAGGCGCTTCAGATCCAGCTCAGCACCTGCAGCTGACAGAGGAGCCTGATCCGCCGCCACCCACTCACCATGTGCCCCAGCCCACGCCACTTGGCCAGGAGCAGAGCTGACCTGTAAACACGGTTGGCTGCTTAGTTGGGCTCTTCTCATAAGCCAGCTAGAACTGGATTGTGAGTGCTTGAAGTCAGGCTCCCTGAAATGCTAACTTGCAGGTCCTTCTGTGAGAGAGGTGATACCTAGCTGATGTTCATAATGCTTTCCATACAGGCAGCAAGATGTGTGATACATGTGTGTATCATGTCTAGTCTGTAGTAATGATTTGGGTTTAGCATTTCAATATTGATGAGTGGTTTTCATTCTCATCTACATCTCTTAAAGACGGGGGTAATTTTTCTTTGAGAGCACTGATTTAGACTTTTCTGTAAGTGTTAAATGTTCGCAGCCATAGGTTATGGTCTTGCTGACCTTTCCAATTATACTTTTAATTTTTAGAACAAAGGAAATCATGTTGGTTGAGCTGGGTAGAGTGGTTGGTTCCACTTTCTTATTTTTCTTAGTCAACACAATTGCCACTACAAGACAAGTCAGGGCTAAATATAACAGATCACAATGTTTGTGGAATTTGTCCTTTTAATAACTTCCAATCCCCCAAGACAGAGTAATCCTCGACATTTAATCTTTGTACGGTACAGTGGGCTTATTGTGTCATGCCTAAGGTAGATTCAAGTTCATGTAAACTAAATGTTTACTTTAACTGAACTAATTCATATAACAAAGCCAAAAGTATAGGATTTTTTTTTTAAACTGAATTTAACTTTTCTGAGAAACCTGAATTTACATATTTTTGGAAAAGTAGGCTATCAGAATTTTAATTAAAAAGCCTAAAATATGAAATTAGATCAAGACATTCACCCCAGCCGGGTGTGGTGGCTCATGCCTGTAATCCTAGCACTCTGGAAGGCCAAGGCAGGATGATTGCTTGAGCTCAGGAGTTCCAGGCCAGCCTGAGCAAGAGCAAGACCCCGTCTCTACTAAAAATAGAAAAATTATCCGGGCATGGTGGCACACACCTGTATTCCCAGCTGTTTGGGAGGCTAAGGCAGGAGAATCACTTGAGCCCAGGAGTGCGAGGTTGCTGTGAGCTATGATGATGCCATTGCACTCCACCCAGGGCAACACAATGAGACTGTGTCTCAAAAAAAAACAAAACAAAAGCAAAAGACATTCACTCCAATAAATGATACTTGATTTTCATGATGAAGTTTATCCTGGAACATGAAATTTTATTCAGTGCAATTTAAGTGTTAAATATACTCTACTGAATTCTAATTGATCTCTTGAAAATGTTGATCTGTGTGTTGTATCTGATAACTTTCTGGAGATGGAAGCTTATTATAATCTATTTTTATTGCAGACTAGGTTAAATTCCACAAAATGAACATGTCATTTTTAAAAGTCAGTATCTTCTCCTAATCTTTTAAAATAACTGAGCCTCAGAGACTAAGTAGCCAGTATGTGTCTGTAATTGTTGTATGATTTTAAATAATCATCAAAGGATCACATTATATTTGGGTTAGGTTTTGAAGCTCAGCATGTTTTATTGAATTTTTTGACCACTTTCACGTAAACTGGTAAAGGATTTTTGAGGAAAAAACATGGGTACTAGTATATCTAAATTAATAATGTTGGAAAGTAGGGTAATTACTCTAAAATCAATATGGTCTTTACTTCAATTGTTTTCTTGTTTTAGACATCTTTGATTTCTACCTAACTCGTATAAGTTCTTTGGAGGTTAAAGTAATAGAGAATTCTTGAGGTTTGAGAGAAGGTGAAAACATTTTGGTTGCATATTTGCTATGCTGTATTTTATTATATGTAATTCACAAAATTTCCAAATGATCTATATATTATATGTATCAACCAAAGTAATGTTAAATCAGGCCTGAGTAGAGCAAACTTAGGATTTTTATACATACTATTATACCCTAAGTATTATTTCATTTTCTTGATTTAGTTGTTTAAACTGTTTAACTTTATTCTTAAAACACAAAGTTTTTACCAGCTTTTCAAAGCTTGCTGACCCAAATTTTCTCCAGGAAATACATAGTATTAAAGTAAATGAATGTTACTCACTCTGGATAGCTAGGTAATTATTCAGAAAATATGGTTACATAGCTATTTATAAGTCAAGTTTAACTGGCTTTGTATCAGTCTACCTCTGCACTAAGAGAACTATAACATGAGCCACATGGGTAATTTTAAATTTTCTGCTAGCCACATTTAAAAACAAAAGAAGCAAGTGAAATTAATTTTAATAAAAGTTTAATGTTTGCCAAATATTATCATTTCAACATGTAAATCATTGTAAAAATGTATTTGTGAGGTAATTTATGTTCTCTTTTTCATACTGTCTTCAAAATCTCGTGTGTATTTTGTACTTCCTGCGTATCTCAGTTCGATGCTAATGTTCATTGGACATACTTCATCTATATTTAGATTTCATACAGTTTACAGTTGAAGCCTAGATTCACATATCAAGTAGCTGCAGACATACTTAAGTTTTTTTTCAATAACTGAAACAAGCGTCAGTTTTTAAATTTATATTAAAATTAATTAAAAGCCAGTTCCTCAGCTGCAGTGGCCACATTGCAAGTGCTCGATAGCCACATGTGGCTAATGGCTCCTATGCTGGACAGTGCAGGCCTCTTTCCAGCTTGAGAGTCAGTCCCAGCCAGAACTGGATTATTTGACCTGCTGTCAAAGGGAAATGAGAAAATGATAGCTTTGTCAATCTGGCCTCTCCCTGTGTCCCAAATACACATTCTGCCCCTTTGAATGAAATCCCTATTTTTAAAGTTCAGTGACTTCTGTACCCAAAGGAAGTGTCATACACAAAGTCCTTGAGAAATTGTATAGCCAGTGTAATGTTTCACAATTCATTTTGTACTAAATGTGTACGGTTTTTAAAATTGTAACAAATACAGAAATACGAAGTGTGTTTCTTAGGAAATAGAATACTATGCATTTGGGCTACTGAAACATACCTTGTTCTGAAGGCGAATCTTTGTTTTTTCCTCTCAGTAGAGTATTAGCCTTGGGATGACTCAAGCTCCTACCGTCAAAATAAGTTACTCCTGTGTTTGCCCAGTGTTTCTTGAAACTACTTTTCCACCTCTATTCTGTGTTTTTCCTACATTTGGTTCTTGTGTTACAAAGGTTGTGAACAGGTTAAATGATGCTGAGGAATAAAAAAGCTTTTCCTTATAGATGCTTTCCTAGAATTCTCATTACAGATGTTTACCTAGGTTTTCATAAATGGGAGCAATAACAATATCTGCCACAAATGGAGTTCTTCCTGTAGGCCAGGAGCCAAAGCAGGTGCATATCCTATCTTACTGTCTCTCAAACCTTTTCCATATCATGGCACAGAAAAAAAATAGCACTTTGTGGTTAGAGGACTCCAGGTACCTCTGGCCACAACTGGTTTATTAATTTGCTAGAGTTGCTGTAACAAATACCACAGACTGGGTGGCTTAAACAACAGACATTTATTTTCTCAGAATTTTGGAGGTTCGAAGTCCAAGATCAAGGTGTCAGTAGGGTTGGTTTCTTCTGAGGCCTTTCTCCTGCCTATCTTGTTCTGCCTGTATCTTCACATATTCTTCCATGTGTGTGTCTGTGTCCTGATCTCTTTAAGGACACCAGGCATATTGGATCAGCCCACCCTAATGACCTCATTTGTAATTTGATCTTTCTTCAAATACAGTCCCTTTCTGGGGTACTGGGGGTTAGAACATCATGTGAATTGAGGGGGCGGGCACAATTGGCCTTATAACAACTGGCATCTGGAGTGAGGAGGGGAGCAGTGTCTGGGACACACCTCTAACCCGTTTGAAGTATGTCTTAATCTTCATGACATTCCAGTGAGGTAATGTAATGTTATTATGCCTATTTTACAGATGAGAACATGGAGGCCCAAGAGATACGGTCCGTTGCCCAAGGTCATACAGTAAGTGGCAGCGCCAGAACTGGGGCACAGGGCTTTTGAGACAAAGTTGAATTTCTTATCACCTATGATCTGCCTAATGTAGTAGAAGGTTTTTGACTAAAATTGAGGGTCTATGTCTGAAATTATAGCATACAATCATAAGCTTTCTACATAAAACAATAATAGTGAAAGTTACGGTCCTTACAGAAATTCAGTAAGTGCCTTGTTAATATTCACAATAGTATTTTACTACTATGGATTTAAAGGTTAATTGAAATTTACCAGTTGGGTGAAAGTTACTACTAAAGTGAAAATGTCTTAGTTAACACAAACCTCTGTAAGTGAGCCCTTTTTTCAGACTTTTAACTGAGGATATTTTAAGTTTAGGACATATATTTTTGTTAATCTTATTAAGGTAAATTTTCAACCTTAGCTTTCAAACTTAAATAAGCCTAAGTTCCTCAGAATGAAAGAAAACCTTTGTCTTGCTTTTGTAAATAGCAGGTATGGAGGAATGACCCCTAAAAATCCCCCTTACCTGTCTTTTGTAAATAGCAGGTTATCAAGGAGTGACCTCTAAAAGCAGCTGGAATGTCATCGTGATAGTTTATCCTGCCTTCGAATTCTTTACACATAATTAAGCAGCAAAGACTTTAGTTGACTGGAATATATACATATGTGTGTGCATGTCATTCTCACATTAAGAAAGTGTTTAAACTAAAGCAGTCATTCACATTTTCAATACAAAACGTAGGAACTTGAACACACTTAGGTAACATTAGCAAGGGATCTTAGCTTTTATTATGTGAGTTTGGGAAGTATTCAATGTGAAGTGTGGAAAAGGAAGAAAAATTGAGCAGGGGTCAGGGTAGGGAGCTTTTATTCTGAATTGTTAAAATCCACTCATAAATATGAATTTGAAGATGATTTTCCAGAAGAATAGTTTGACCCTTAGTTTTAGTTTGCTTTTATACTTGTTAAATAAAAAATTAAACTGAATCTTCCTTAAGCTAAATCAGAGGTTTTTTTAAAAAAAAAAAAAGAAAAGAAAAAAACTACATTTTAAAAATCCACATCTCAGATAATTTTAGTATTATTTTGTGATTTCTGGAAAAATTTTTCTTATAATCAGTGTTTGAAGGGCAAAAGCAGTCTTATAAACAAAAATATGGGAAAGTACTTAAACTAATCCTGAACCTACTTGCAGCCTCTCAAGTGTCCCTTGTGTTATCTTGGAGTCTATGAAATCATAATTACGCTTTGACTTCTGGGGAAGGTATTGAATAAAAAGTAGCACACAAGAGGGATAAGGTTGGAGGGAGGAACAGGATAGAAGGAGGGACCGAAATTTGTGATCTACCCACTGAGCCAAGAGAGAAAGCTGGCAATCACTCTTGATGGGGCCCACCCCCCACACCAGTGCATCATCATGTTATGTCGGTTCCACCTTGAAATGTCTTTTGAATCCATCCACTCTGCCATCCTCACTGCACACCATGTCTCTTGCCTGGACTCCTGCCAAGGCCTGGCTGATCTTTGTACCCCCTCCCGCCACCTCCTTCTCCACCAGAAGTCGTGATCTACTTGGGCTCACCATCGTCCCCTTAGCTTAGTATCCAGCAGAGTGCCTTCCTCTATGAATGGATTTGCATTATTTATTACAACAAATATGATCATGTCTCTGCCTAAAATCCTTCTGCAGTTTCCCACTGCACTTAGAATAAAATCCACAATCCAGCTTCCTCATGGGCCCCTCTTCCCAGTTCTCACTTCCAGGTGCACTGGCTTCCTTGCTGTTCCCCAAACGCACCCAGCTCTTTCCTGCCTGAGGGCTTTGGGGCAGGTGCTTCTCACCTTGAAAGTTGTCTGTCCCCACTCTGACTCACGACTACTCACCTGTCAGAATTCAGGGAGGCCCTCCCTGGCCCTCTAATCTCAATCAAGCCACCCTGTCATATCCTCTCACTGCATTCGGTACCCCGCGGCTCAGATGTAATTAATTATTTTACATCAGGAGTTGTGTCTCTCTGGCCATTCTGCAGCCACAGCTCTTGGCCCAGGACTTTGTTCTTTGAAATCACTGACCTGCAGATGCAAGACCATATTATAGGATGGCTTAAACATGTCACTTTCAGTGGCTGGGACCTAGTTTCTGGCTGCAGGCCCAGGAGATGAGAGGTTGGGAGGTGAGGTAAGGATGGCACTACAGGAAGACAGAACATGGTCTGGGTCAGAGGAAAGGGGATCCTAGCTGTCTTAGTGGCTCCGGTTTTTAACTCATGGCCACTGCTGCAGTGACTATTTGTGAAAACATTAGAATGGATTCTTTTAAAACGGACATTTCATGTATCAGCCATTTACTTGTTCCAATATGAACTGGCCAATGCAATTGAGCCAATATTGTTTTTTTCTGCCCCAAGATGATGTGCAGGAGTGTGCCAGTATTTATAGTTCTATATACACATAGAATGTGAGTGAGGGCTCAAGAAGCACTTATGGATAAGTAATAAGTGTATGATTTTAGCTTTAATAGAGATCAGGTATTTTTTCCTTGGAAGAAACTCTGTAAGTAGAACTTGGTTTGGGTTTTCTATACACTTCTTAGGGCCAGCAACATTGAATAACAGGATTTCAGAACTGAAATGGGCTGAGGAGGCTGAGTAACTAAACTGTGTCCATTTAAAGATGAGAAGACTGAAGCGTGGTGACTTGCAAGTTTACACCAGGCTAGTGTGAAGCAAAGCTGGATTCTGCCAGGCCTTCTGGATTCCAGACCTGTGTATTCCCCACACTTTATGCTCCAGTGTAAGTCCGTAATCAGCATACATTTAAACTCCAAGTCAGCAGGTTTTTTAGCACTGATGAACTCACTTTTGTTCTGTGATCTTTCTTAAAGACAAATTTTGCAATTTGCTGTTCAGAGAGCCACATAACCCTTTTGGTAACTGAAGTCATGAGTCAAGCCTGACCGTGTTGGCCCTTTGCAAACGTGGAAAGCCGGAGCAGCCAGTTGTTTGCCATCTGCTAATGAAAGGGAAATAGGATGGCTCTAAAAGCCTGGTGAACCAGTTGTGGTGGACTTTAGAACGTTTTTGCACTATTTATTTAAATATGGGTGTGTCATACACGGCAAATTAATTTCAAGCCAAATAACGTGCCACACTCAAGAGCTAGCATGGGCCCAGCTGGGAGGGCGGCTGCCCTAGTTTCCTGAGCATGACCTGGCAGAGAGCAGGCGCTTCCCCTCTCTTTCCTCCCTCTGCCTGCTTCTCAGCTCCAGCTGGCAGCAGGACTGTTCATGTCTTACTGGGTCTCAGAGGGTTTCCAGATGAAATGCAAAGTGAGAATAAAGGGAAAGGGAGAGCCATAGAGCCCCCCCAGCTCTTTATGGCCCTTGGATCTCAAGGAAAGCAACCCTCTCATTTATTCCTTGGTTAGCGTAACGGCGTCACTTCCTCTAAACAAGAAACAGCTTCTTACAACGCCAGCCTTTGATTTGTCACGTTGGATCAACACGGGTGTGGTGGAGCCCAGACAGACCTGGGCCAGGATGCCAGCTCTGCCACTTGCGGTGGGCAGATAACGAACCTTTGTGGCTCTTGTTTCCTTTTCGGTAAAATGGTACCGTGGTGAACACTAAGATTAAGGTGATACTCTTAGTAGTATGATGCTCAATAAATGAGAATTTTGTTAATACTAACTAGCTGAATGACCTTGGACGAGTCCTTTCACTTTTCGTGCTATTTCCTTGCCGGGAACATGAGGAAGTTCATCCCAAAGGTCTCTTCAAGCCCTTTTCAGCACTGACAGTTCCGTGGGTCCCCATTGTAAGGCATCTTGAACACGGAGGCCTTGCGGCTTTTCCACACACCCCTCCCATTTGCCCCTCTCTTAGTAGTGGTCTAAATACCCCACCCCATCCCCTTGCCCCCTCACTTCTCACACCCATTTGGAAGTCGCAGATTGCCGAGCTCCCAGTACTTTAATCCGCGCCCTTTGCCCTTGGCTCGGGTCTACGGGCAGACCAGTCGCAGGGGAGGCGACCCGGCGCTTGGCTCCATCCGGGGGCGCCCCGGCCGTGGATCTCTGGCTGGGAGAGATGAAGAGAACGCAGACATTCTGGCGCCACCCTCGGACCCGCCAGCTTCTCCAAACTCCCTACCGAGCCGCGCGCCCTCTCGCCCGGCGCTTGGAGGCTGCCCGCGCAGTTAGTACCGCGCCGGGGAGGGTGGTCCTCGCCTGGCCCGCGGGTGCGCGCTCTGGCACCCCGCCCTCCGCACGCTCCGGCTCCGAGGCCCCCAAGCGGAACGGGGTGTCTGCAGCGCCACGCCCTAGAGCGCCACCCTGCAGGCGTGGGCGGGCCCGGGACTGTCCCTAGCGGGGGGAGATCGAGGGGTAATGACATGCTAATGAAGTGCGAATAAATCCTCAGCGGGGCCCCGCGCCCCGAGCCTAAGCACACCCCGCGGGACACCAGAGCCGGGCGCACGCGGTAGGCCGCCCCGCATCCCGGGCTTGCGCTCGGCGCTGCCCCCGCCCCCGCCCTCACTGGTGGCCCGCCCGGCAGGAAGCGGTCCCTCCCGGCCCCGGAGCCGCCCGGTAAGTCGTGCAGCTGAGCCAGCCGTGCGCCCCGCTGCCGGCCCGGGCCGGGGAAGGGTGGAGGTGCGGGCGCTTCCGGAGAAATGCGGCCCCGGGCACCCGGGAACCACGCTTGGCCGGTCCGGCCGGTCCCCCCCACTCCTCGCCCTGCTCAGCCCCTCTCCAGACTTTTCCGTCCGGAGTGTTGGGTAACCACCCCCCCACCCCCAAAAGTGCTCCAGCTCCCTCTCCATCCTTTCAGACCGCCCCACCCCTCGCACATCCTTTGTTCTGGCGCTTCCAGGCTGGGTCGCCCCTTTCTCTCCCTTCACCGAGGTCTTCCTCCTTCCACACCCAACCCCCACCCCAAGAGGAACCTTTGCCCTTTCTGAAGTTCGGTCCGCCCTCATCCAGGTGACCAGCGGCGGACGGCTTTAGTCTCCTGCCTCGGTGCGGCCAGCTGGGAACGGCGGGGCAGTTGGGGCGGGGGGCGGCGGAGAACCCCAGGGGCCCGCCCCCACTGCTGCCACCCACCCCTCCTAACTCTGCCATGGGCAACCACATCCTCCATACCCTCTGATCCCTTCCGGTCCCAGCGTGAGAAAGCCCCTCTGACACCCCTCAAGTTGCGTGGAGGCCGGAGCGAAGGAGGTGGGGACAAAGCGGCCTTGTCTCTGGAGATTCCTGGGAGGGCGCACAGGGGGCGGGGCGGGGTGGGGTGGAGTGTCGATTGGGGTGGGAGGAACCTGGGAGGGGGAAACCAGCTACTGTGGTCCCCCACTTCTTCCCAAGGCCCCCTGGAGCAGGGCAAGTTCACAGGGGAAGTGTTTTGACCACAGTGAGTCAGAAATAGACCCAGGCCTTTGTTACCCAGTCAAGTTGCAACATCCTCTGGCTGCTTGCTGAAGTAGTTTGGTGGTGGGAAGTGGAACCTTCCTAGGCTGAGGCTGTCTTCCCTCCCATCAGGAGGCAAGCACGAGTGCTGAGGAGGAAAACTTTGCCCTTGGCACGAGACACATCCCACCCAGCAAGGCACTGAGGCCACCAAGGGGCACCCAGCGCTGTGGGGTGTGGGGTGAGATGGGGCCGTATGTGTGCCCAGCAGCTGGGGTTGTGGGAATTATCTGTTCCTGTCTACAGGCAAAGGAAGCCTTCCTCCTGCCTTCACCACTTCTGAGAAAGTCCCCCTACGCACTCCTTCCAGGGCCTGGGGAAGACAGGCTAAGAATTCCTGCCCCAGGGCTTGGAGATCCCTGGACAGGGAGGCTGAGTTGGAGGCTGCCAAGGCTTCCCATATGCCCTGTGTGCCCAGGACTACTGATTTTTCATTTCCAAATTTGGTAAATTTCACTTGGAGTGGACAGGAGAGCAGCTGTCTCTGGAGCACACTGGGCAGGGGAGTGGGCTGGGAGGGAGGAGCAGAGCCAATCAGGGGTGGACCTGGAGCTCCCTGGGGACACAAGCCTGCTCTCTTTTCCTCTCCTTCCTTTTCCCTTCCTCCTTTCTCCAGCCTCCTCCCTTTCTCTTCCCTCCTTACTTCCAGCAGCCACTGCCTCTGCTCAGCTGTCCAGCTGCTCCCCTCCCTGGGAGCCCCAGGAGGCCTCCATGGCTTCACCCCTCTCCACGAACCCAGCACACACCCACTTTGAGAGCTTCCTGCAGGCCCAGCTGTGCCAGGACGTGCTGAACAGCTTCCGGGGACTATGTGGGGCCCTGGAGCTGGAGCCTGGTGCGGGGCTGCCCCAGTACCACAAGATCAAGGCTCAGCTCAACTACTGGAGCGCCAAGTCACTGTGGGCCAAGCTGGACAAGCGAGCGGGCCAGCCTGTCTACCAGCAAGGCCGGGCCTGCACCAGCACCAAGGTGGACATGCGGTGCCTGGGATGGGGCGTGGGGAATGGGGGAGCCAGAGCAGGGGGACGGGATGCCATAGCCCCACTGCCCTGTGTGTTCACAGTGCCTGGTGGTGGGTGCTGGACCTTGCGGGCTGCGGGCCGCTGTGGAGCTGGCACTGCTGGGGGCCCGTGTGGTGCTGGTGGAAAAGCGCACCAAGTTCTCCCGCCACAACGTGCTCCACCTCTGGCCCTTCACCATCCATGACCTGAGGGCACTTGGTGCCAAGAAGTTCTATGGACGCTTCTGCACTGGCACCCTGGACCACATCAGTGAGCACCACGTGGTGGCCTGGAGGGGTGGGGGAGCCTGGCCCTAGAGACAGGCTAGTAGGGGGAGAGTCAAAGTGAACAAGATTCAGGTCAGCCAGGTGACCTTGAAGACTAGGTCCCTCATCTGTAAAGCCGGCAGTTGGACTGAGTGATCTCTAAGACCTTCTCCAGCTCTGACCAGGCGCACACTGGTGCTTGGGGAGGCTGTGCGGCCCTGGGTTCCCTGTTCCTAATGTCCTCTTCCTTCTAGGCATCCGGCAGCTCCAGCTGCTTCTGCTGAAGGTGGCATTACTGCTGGGGGTGGAAATTCACTGGGGTGTCACTTTCACTGGCCTCCAGCCCCCTCCCAGAAAGGGTAAGTACTTCTATGCTCTCAGGAATCCCCACCCACCTAGGAGATCTTGGCCATTGCCTGGGAAAGGGTGAGGCTGGGAGTTGGCTGATAATCCTTTACTAATAGTGCAGCCTTGGGCAAACCACTCTGAGCCTGAGGTTGAACGTTTGCAGAACAGTTCTTTCCTTACCTGCCTTTAGTGGTGTGAAGGTGTAATCTGATAGACAATGTATCATTGCTTTCTAAACTACAGTCCTTAACACATTGATTTTAGTTATTTCACTGCTTGTCCTGGGAGTGTAGGAGCCCCTCTGACTTCTACACCTTTGTGCCTCTCATGACCCCTGCCTCAGGGAGTGGCTGGCATGCCCAGCTCCAGCCCAACCCCCCCACCCAGCTGGCCAACTATGAATTCGATGTCCTCATCTCGGCTGCAGGAGGTAAATTCGTCCCTGAAGGTGAGTGATCCCTTCCCTCAAAGAAGCCAGCATTTTTGGCTCCTTCTGGGCCTTTCTAGGTTGTTATACCCCTCTTCTCCTGCCACTACCCATCTACTCCCACCTCTAGGCTTCAAAGTTCGAGAAATGCGAGGCAAATTGGCTATTGGCATCACAGTCAACTTTGTGAACAGGCGCACCGTGGAGGAGACGCAGGTGCCAGAGATCAGCGGTGTGGCCAGGATCTACAACCAGAGCTTCTTCCAGAGCCTGCTCAAAGCCACAGGTCAGGACCTCCTCTTGCTGGGTTTCCCCTCCCCCTTCCTGACTGTGGACTGGCTGCCACCTGCCCCTTCCAGACCTGCCCTAAGTGCAAGGAATCTCAACTTTCCCATCTTTGTGGTCTCTGCAGCAAAGAAAGAACTTATCCCCCCAGGGATTAAACAGGCCCAGCCTCACTTGGCCACCAAGCATGAAAAGTCCTGGAAATCTCTCACAAAATGCATGAGAGTTTTGCTTTGTGCTCCTTTATGATTTACTATAAAAATAATGTAAATGGAAAACAAAAGTGGCACTTCAAGAAGATGCCCAGTGTTTATTTTGGCTTCACACTGCTATGTGACCACGTGGTGCAGGTCTCCCAGCTGCCATCCCACCTACGTTTCCGTCTTTGCTTCAAGCTCTCAGGCCTCCTGGGCCTCAGACGGTCCTTTGTGCCACCAGGACTTGCAGGGTTCTGTGTGTGGAGCACTCACTGCAGTCTAAGCTGGGCATCCCAGCTCTCAGATGTCAGGCCACAGCTGGGGTGTTTGCAGAGGTGATGCATAATCTGGAGGAGACGTATCTCCTGTCCCCTGCCTTGTTCCCTCAGGCATTGATCTAGAAAACATCGTGTACTACAAGGATGACACCCACTATTTTGTGATGACAGCCAAGAAGCAGTGCCTGCTGCGGCTGGGAGTGCTGCGTCAGGTGGGGCCCAGGCCCAGGCTGGGAGAGGCTGGACGGTGGGCACGGGGAGGTAGAGGCCAGGCCTGGACACAGTTTACCACTGGGTGGAGGGGGGCCCCCATCTCCCCTGGCATTAACTCCACCCCTGCAAGCTCTTCTCCCCTGGGATTTTCATGGCAATAGGAATCATATTCTGGGCTAAACACCTTATACCAGCCACAATACTACAAATGTAAGTCCATGAGGGCAGAGATTTTTGTCTCTGTTTCTTGCTTGCTGCTAATTCCTGGTGCCTAGAATGGTGCCTAATATGTAGTAAGCACCCAATATGTATTTGCTGAATGAATGAACTAGTTGAGTGCCTACTCTGTGCTAGGTACTGTGTTGAGAGCTAAATTTGCATTTTCTCATCTAATTCTATGAGTACCTTGGTAAGTTAGATGTGTTGTCTCTAAATGATGGACAAACTGAGGCTCAGAAATTCAGTGGCAGGTGACAGTAATGATATTGGGCTTCATGGGCAGAGCAGAGCCTGGGACCCCCAGCAGCAGGGTGGGTGTTAAGGAAGAGGCTTTGAGAATTTCAGGCCATTGGAATTCTAGTCCCAGCTGAGCCTTCAACTGCTGTGTAGTCTGGGGCAGCCCCCTCCCTCTCTGGGCCTCAGTACGTGCACCTTCTACACCCAAGGGCATGGGACTGGTGCATCGGCCCTGCTCTCAGAGGTTCTGTTGACCATGTAGGACTGGCCGGAGACTGATCGGCTGCTGGGCAGTGCCAATGTAGTGCCCGAAGCTCTGCAGCGCTTTGCCCGGGCAGCTGCTGACTTCGCCACCCATGGCAAGCTTGGAAAACTAGAGTTTGCCCGGGATGCCCATGGGCAGCCTGACGTCTCTGCCTTTGACTTCACAAGCATGATGCGGGCGGAAAGTTCTGCTCGTGTGCAAGAGAAACATGGCGCCCGCCTGCTGCTGGGACTGGTGGGGGACTGCCTGGTGGAGGTGAGGAGGGAGGAAGCTGTCTAATAGGGAGGAGGGGATAAAAAAAGGTCCGCTTGTTGGGGACGGGGACGGGGCCGGGGCGGAGTGGTGGATAAGGGCTCTTTGGTGGAGGTGAGAGGCTGCCTGGTGTGGAGATGGGCCCCTGTGCAATGACCTTGGGAGGTGTCCGCGCTTGAGATGCTCCCATTGGCTTCTCACTGAGCAGTTTGCTATTCCTTTGACTCTGCAGCCCTTCTGGCCCCTGGGCACTGGAGTGGCCCGGGGCTTCCTGGCAGCCTTTGATGCAGCCTGGATGGTGAAGCGGTGGGCAGAGGGCGCTGGGCCCCTAGAGGTGTTGGCCGAGCGGTGAGGCCTGAGTTGGGGGTGTGGGCAGGGCGGGATATGGGACAAGGGTCAGGAAGAGGGGTAGGAGTGCTGGGTCAATAGATGGGGGCATGGACAAGAGAGAATAAAAGAAAGGCTGGCAGTTCCTGAGGGGTGGGTGCTGACAGGTACCATCCAACTCATGGCCATGGCCCTCACCCCACCCCCTCAGTGAGAGCCTGTACCAGCTTCTGTCACAGACATCCCCGGAAAACATGCATCGCAATGTGGCCCAGTATGGGCTGGACCCAGCCACCCGCTACCCCAACCTGAACCTCCGAGCTGTGACCCCCAATCAGGTCAGACCCCTGGCACCCTCACGGACTTCCCAAGTCAGTCCCCTTCCCCCAGGTCTGGCCTTCCCTGCGCAGTCACTACCCCTCAGGGTCAGTCCTACCCCCAGCGGACCCTCCATCCTGGGATTGAGGGGCTGTGTGGTCAGCCTGCCTTCAGACCTGAGAGGGACTGCCTTAGGTACGAGACCTGTATGACGTGCTGGCCAAGGAGCCTGTGCGGAAGAAGAGCGACAAGACAGACACAGGGAGACCGGCCACTGGTGAGCAAGCTTTCCTCCAGGGGGATGGCCAAAACATCTACCAGCCAGTGGGCCCAGGCAGCACCCATCAGAGCAGCTGTGGCCTTGGGGCAGCTGCAGCCTCAGGACGGGAGCAGTGTGCTGGAATGCTCCCTGCTGGGACGGTGGGGACTTTGGGGCCTCCCGGAGCCGGGCAGGGGCAGCGGGGCACTCAGTAGCAGCTGTTCGTGGGGCCGAGTGGATGTGTTTCAGTATCTGAACCTCTGCTACAGCAGCAGCAGTACTGCCAACCCCTACCCGCCCCGCAACTCCCACACCGCCTTTCATGACTGGCTGTCCTGTGTGTGGCTAGTAGTGATGTCACTTTATTTATTCCTCCATGTTATTCCAAAAAGAGATTTTTGAAAATGAGAGCACTAGGATGGAGATGCTGACAGTGAGCTTTGGGCTGGTGCCCTGACTCCTCCTCCCCAACAAACCCCCACACCCAGCAGTGGGGCTCCCTGTGAGCCATGGGTGGGGCAGGGAGGCCTGGGCACAGTACACCTTCTCTCCCAGGGTCGGCGGGCACCCAGGAGGAGCTGCTGCGCTGGTGCCAGGAGCAGACAGCTGGGTACCCAGGAGTCCATGTCACTGACCTGTCTTCCTCCTGGGCTGACGGGCTAGCTCTGTGTGCCCTGGTGCACCGGCTGCGGCCTGGCCTGCTGTGAGTTTGGGATCGGCATGGGGTTGCTGGCAGACCATACTCTCTCATGCCGCTGCCCCTCCCTCTGCATCATGGTGGGGAGATCGCTGTGCCGGAGTTAGCATATCCAGTTGAGTCCTAGCTCCACCACTTCTGCGTGTCACTTCACCCCCCTAGAAACAGTATTCCTGCCTGACTCTGCCCCAGAGTCTTGTGAGAATCTAATGCATTCTAATAGGGAAGAGCTTCGTGAATGTAAGAGGGTCCCCAAGCAGAAGCAGTTATCATTGGGTTGGGAGAGTAACAGAGACAACAAGTAGACCTTCATGCCCCCTCCTCCCTGTGGGACCCCCACCCCTGTCTGGTGTCTTCCCCTCCTGCTGTCCTCACCTCTCCTCCCCTCAATGGGCCTGGTTCTTGTCTCCCATTGGCTTCTCTCCCCGACTCCCCACAGGGAACCCTCAGAGCTGCAGGGCATGGGGGCTCTGGAAGCCACTGCCTGGGCACTGAAGGTGGCAGAGCACGAGCTGGGCATCACACCAGTGGTATCTGCACAGGCAGTGGTGGCAGGGAGTGACCCACTGGGCCTTATCGCCTACCTCAGCCACTTCCACAGTGCCTTCAAGAGTACACCCCACAGCCCAGGTGACCTGAGGGTGGGCATGTGGGGGAGGGGTGGGAAGGGGAGTATGTGTGAGAGGAAGGTGTCCTCTGAGGGCCAGCTTGGGAAAAGTGTCTGTTCTGGGGGTACAGTATTGGCCCCCCACCTACCCTGACTCTCCCTGCAGGCCCTGCTGCCCAAGCCTCTCCGGGAACCTCCAGTGCTGTATTGTTCCTTGGCAAACTTCAGAGGACTCTTCAACGGACCAGGGCCAAGGTGGAGAGTCTGGGCAGGGTTGGGGCTGGGCATGGGGTGCCCAGTGGAGGTCCCTGGGGTGATTCAGAAAGGGGGAAGGGGGACTGCGGCTCAAAGGTTCATGCTCAGAGTTATAGGACTTGTTGCAGGAAAATGGGGAGGATGCTGGTGGCAAGAAGCCTCGCTTGGAGGTAAATGCAGGCAGGGGCCGGACAGTCCCCTCTGCCCCGTTCTCTTCCCCTTCCCTGGATACTGTCTTCCCTGTGTCCTGCCCCCCATGTGCTGCTCCCCACCCCAGGTCCTGTAATCCCCCATCTGCCTCCCTGCCCAGGCTTCTTCATCTTCCCTTCCAGCCCTTTCTATGCATTTGCACACGTCCACTCCCAGCTGATCCTGCCCTTCCACCCTCCCAGCCTGAGCACTTAACCTTCTTAGGTAGAGGCCGAGACCCCAAGTACTGAGGAACTACCTGTCCCTGAGCCTGGTAGACCCCTGACACCCCCATCTCAACACCAGGAGGTAAGAGCCAGAGCTCTGTCTGTGGCCAGAGGCCTGGGGAGGGCAGGGAAGAGATGTTTAAGGGAAGGGAAGAACTTTGCAGCTGGCTTTGACTGCCCTAACCCTGTGTCCCCGGGGGGGTCCATGCAGGCTGGTGCTGGGGACCTGTGTGCACTTTGTGGAGAACAACTCTATATCCTAGAACGCCTCTGTGCCGACGGCCGTTTCTTCCACCGGAGCTGCTTCCGTTGCCATACCTGTGAGGCCACACTGTGGCCAAGTGGCTACGGGCGGCACCCAGAAGATGGTGAGTGAGCTTGGGAGACCTCTAGGGAGACTTTGGGCCTGGCCCTGCCTGAGGGACAAGGAACTCGAGGGGAGAGGAGGACAGGGTGCTGGGCACAAGGTAGAAATGGGTTCAAGATGGCACTTTCTTCCCCTGAGCTCAGGGTCTTCTGTCCCCTCCAAAGCTCCAGATTAGAGGTTCTAAGGAACCAGAGGCTGGCAGAAATTACCTGCAAATCCAAGTCATGGTGCCCCCACCTTCCCTGATTGTCTGGGCAGTGGGCTGCCTACACCTGATGCCTCCTCCCCCTCTCCACCCTTCCCAGGACGTTTCTACTGCCTCCAGCACCTGCCCCAGCCAGACCACAAAGAGGATGGCAGCGACGGAGGCCCTCAGAGTCCGGTAAAAACTGTGAAAGTGTGTGCGTGTTGGGGCATGGGAAGAGGAAAGGGGTCTCTCCAGCCCAGCACACGGCTGGGGGTAACTGAATGTTGCCCTCCACTAGAATGTGAGCCCCACGAAGGCAGGGATGTCTGTTTTACTATTGCTTTATCTCAAATACCCAGAACACTGCCTGACACTGCTCAGCAAATGGTGCTAAGTGAATGAGTGCCATGACCCACATTTGCTCCAAAGGAGTGGCCTAAACCCCACACCGGGCAGGTCACTGACCAGACCACATGGTGGCTTTTCCAGGAGCTTCCGACACTAGGTGAGATTAATATGCCACCAGGCCCCCCAACTCCCAGAGCCTCGCAGGAGGGGGCCAGCCCTGTTCCAAGCCCCAGCCAGCCCACCCGTCGGTTGATCCGCCTCCCCAGCCCGGAACGCCAGCGGTTGTCCTCCCTCAACCTTACCCCTGATGAGGAAATGGAGCCGCCACCCAAGCCCCCCCGCAGCTGCTCTGCCTTGGCCCGCCAGGCCCTGGAGGGCAGCTTTGTGGGCTGGGGCATGCCAGTCCAGACACCTCAAGGTAACTGCTCTCCCACACCTGTGCTGACTCAGGGTGGGGATGGGCAGGAGAAAGGGGATTCCTGCAAGTGGAATTCTGGGAAATAGAAAGGGAAGTCGTGGGTATCTCAAGCCCTGTCTGCTTCTCCCCTGCTCAGTTCTTGTGGCCATGGAGGAGGAAGAAGAGAGCCCTTCCTCCAGTGAAGAAGAAGATGAAGGGGAGGAAGATGTGCCTTTAGACTCAGACATGGAACAAGTGAGTGGGTGGAATGTGGCCACCTACTCTGCCCCAGCCAGCACGCATCCACTAAATACTCTCCACACGCTATAGGCGGAACCCACACCACACTCCATCCTCTGCGCCCTTCTCTCACCCAGCCTGACTTTGTCGCTGAGCTTGCACCTTTTCTACCAGAACTTACCCCACTTTCAGCCCAGGTTCTTACCTGCCTTTTCAAACAGAGCTTCTGCCACTCCTATCTACCATGGGGGCCAGGCCCTACAGCTAACTGCCTGACCCTCCCATAGGCCCTGCTGACCTTCGCCAAGACCTCAGGCACCATGAATAAGTACCCAACGTGGCGTCGGACTCTGCTGCGCCGTGCTAGGGAAGAGGAGATGAAGAGGTTCTGCAAGGCCCAGGTGAGGCCCAGGGGTTCCTGGAAGTTCTGATGGGGTCGGAGTTCTGAGACTGGATTCAGAGCTCCTCCAGTGCTCTGTTCTTGAGCAGTCCAGAGACTCCTGGGTCTCCTGTCTTGTACTCCTCAGGCCATCCAGCGGCGACTAAATGAGATTGAGGCTGCTCTGAGGGAACTGGAGGCCGAGGGCATGAAGCTGGAGCAGGCCCTAAGGAGCCAGAGCAGTGAGTGAAGATGGGAGGGATGAGCTAGGACACCCCTCTGCCTCCTAGCACTGTGTTTAGCCCCCAGCCATCCCTCAAACTGGCAGGCTATGGCTCACAGCAGGCCCAATGGTTGTGCCACACAGCTCTCTGACACTCACACCCCTAACACCCTTCTTTCCCCGGATTCTGTCACCCCTAAGCCCATGACTCCTGTGGCCCTGGCTGGAGGCCTCCTGACCACCCCCTACCCATCTTCCTTCTTATCAGGTTCCCCAGAACAGCAAAAGGAACTGTGGGTAGAACAGCTGCTACAGCTTGTTCGGAAGAAAAACAACTTGGTGGCTGAGGAGGCTGAGCTCATGATCACGTAAGGAATGGGGAATGGTGACAGTGGCTCCTGAGCTAGGCCCTAGCCTCTTGTGTATCCTGAACAGGTGTGCCTCTTCTGTCCCTGACCCCCACAGGGTACAGGAGCTGAACCTGGAGGAGAAGCAGTGGCAGCTGGACCAGGAGCTACGCAGCTACATGAACCGGGAAGGTAGGTGTGATGAGGGGAGAGGCAGACATATCCCACAGCTGCTGCACAAGTCTCATGATCTCAGATACTGATCCAGCAATGTGGATGGGGCTCCAAAGCCCTACTCTCCCTTCAGTTCAATGAGAGCTGCACAATGGGCTTTTATAAAAGATTTCCTTCAAAAATGGTGCTGCTTCTAGATAATGCCAGAAAACCACTGGTATTGACAAAGCACCTAATTTTGCAGATTAAGAAACAAAGCCTGGGTTGTAGAAATTACACAGGCCAGGATTAAGTTGTGCCTCTCCTGCCTCCCTGCCCAGTTCCCTCTTCTCTAAGTTTCGTCTCCTCCCTTCAGAAACCCTAAAGACAGCTGCCGATCAGCAGGCTGAGGACCAGGTCCTGAGGAAACTGGTGGAGGTGGTGAACCAGCGAGATGCCCTCATTCGCTTCCGGGAAGAGCGCAGGCTCAGTGAGCTGGCCCTGGGGACAGGGGCCCAAGGCTAGAAGAGGATGGGCTGCCTGGGAGAGGGCCTCACTGTTTACAATTAAAATGTTTCTGCCATAAACAAGGCTTAGGGTGCCTGCAGGTGGGAAGTGGGAGGTGTGCAGGGAAGGCAGAAGACGTGTAGGAGCCTTAAGGTCTAAAGTGTGACGTTCACACTGACCTTTGGCTCCCATCACTGCCTCTACATAAAGAAAAAAGGCAGAGCCGTTAAAGAGTCAAGCTTTATTGTTCCTCAGCTCTGTCCCCCTCTTGCTGCCCTAGGAGTGGGGATGGCTGAGGCTCTAGCCCCAGGTTCCGGGTTTCCCTTGCCCTTCCCAGCACATGCTGGAGCTCAGCCTGGGCTCTATATAAGCCCTTGGCCTCCTGCAAGTGGAAGAGATAGACTGCACCTCCCCCCAGCACCAGTCCTACACTGGGGGTCCAGAACAGTATGGCAGCTTCCCGGGCCCCTCCTCCGGCTGCCAGGATACACAGCAATGCCAGGAGAAGCAGCCCCAGACCAATCACATAACCACTGAAAGTGGCCCACCAGCGAGCTTGAGCCATGCCCAGACCCAGCTCTGTCCAGGCTTCCCTTAGCACACTGATCAACGGTGACCTCTCTGCTGGTCCTAGAACAAGGCAGGGCAGTGGGGCAGTAGAAGGTCAGGGTGGAGGGGGCTGCCTTGAGGTGAGGAACGGCCAAGGGAAAGGGTGGGGGCAACTTACCATGGATAGGGCTTGGGTTTTGCTGGGGGGTGCTGTGCCTCACAAACAGAGTAGCCATCAGAGCCTCGTGATCAGAGAGGGGGGTGCCTCTGTGAGGGTCATGGCCTATAGTGGTTTCCAGAGTCTTACAAGAGATGTAGAATTCAGAAACTGCCTAAGAAAAGTAAGGGCCAGAGAGAAGCTTATATATGAGGGCCTCTTTGCAGAGAACCAGCTCCCAGCTATCCCATTCTCTAGCCATCAGTGGTGGCCCAAGGCTAGACTAATTGAACAAAGGATCAGCACAGGCTGGTGACAGATGAAAGAGACACAGTGGGTGAAGGCATGTTAGGGGGAGGAGGCTGACCTTATAAAGCACATAGTCAATGCGAATGCCAAAGGGAAAAGGCTCCAGCTCCTGCTGGGTGACGTAGCAGTTCTGGGGTACCATTGTATTGCCTTCTTCAGAGCCCTAAGGGAACAGTTGGGTCCTGGTAGGATGCAGGGAAGGTGAAGGGGGAGAATCTGGGGATGCAGGTGGGGAGATAATCAGGCAGGTCCTCACCTTAAAGTCCTGGGTCTCAAGGTAGGCATCGCGTAGCCCAGTCCACTCCTTAAGCAGGCAGCAGCCCAGGTCTTCTGGGTGCATGTTGAGGTCCCCACACAATAGAACCACATCTGCCTTCTTGGATGTGTGGCTGGAGGAGCCAGGTTGTTAAGGCAGGAATTCTTCCCTCACCAGCTCTGCCCTATAAACGGGGCCTTGGCCACCCCTCAGCCCCTGGACCCCAGCCCACTTCCCCTGTCAAGCCCAGGCTCACACACTGGATGAACTGGGCCAGTTCCCAAGCTTGGGCCACACGATGTGCTAGGTAGATGTCCTTCTGTCGATTGTACTCGGCATGGAGCTGAGCAGAATACATGAGATTATAGCAGATAAGACTTGAGAGTCCCAGAGGCAGGTCTAAATCAAGCTTGTGTCTGTCACTTGGCACAGTGTTTGGTATAGAATGGGTGAACCTTAGGAGATCCTGCCCCCACACCTCATGCCCAGGCAGAACTAGAGCAGTACCGTCCCTGAGTCCCAGCCCTAAGCACTGCTGGCTTCACTCACATGGGTCACGTAGGCATTGAGCACCAGTCCACTTAGATGGAGCACCAGCAGCCCCACGGCTTTCCCACAGAACCAGTCACCATGATGGATCTGCAGGCAGGAGGAGGCAGAAACTTAGGACACGGCCACCCTCTTTCTGCCCATCCCCTGCAGCCCTAGGAGGGTTGCCTCCTTTACCTGGTGTTAGTGGGGATGGGGAAGGGAGGTAGAAGAGGTTAGAGGTCAAGCTTACCATGTAGGGGTAGCCATTGAGGGAGTAGACGTGCTGGGTGAGTTCCTGGATCGGGTGTTTGGAGAAGACACAGAGGCCACTGCCAATGACTCCGCTGAAAGCCAAGCCCTGCTTAATAACCAGAAAAGCAGGGAGAGACACCCGGCCCTCTTCCCCTCCCCTGTCTTCCAGCTCTGATCAGCTACTTTTTTTTCTTTCTCTGCTGCTAGGACCAGCCCCAGAGCAAAGGCAGCAGCCTTTGCATAGGAAGATGATGGGGCAACCTGATAATAAGGATGATGAGCTAGGGAAGATAGGGAAGGATCTTCCTGGTTCCCTCTCCCTTTACCCACACCCAGAGGGAGAAAAAGCTGGGAAGAGGGAGCAGGGTGCAGGCAGGACAAGTAAGGGCCAGCAGTGTCAAGATCCCCCAAGTTTGAGAACAGGCTTCAGGCCAGCGGGCTCCTCACCTCCTGAAGTAGTGTGCAGCCAGGTAAGTGGGCGACAGCTTCTGTCTCAGGTACTGGAAGTCCTGCTCACTCCACACCTGAGGGAAGGAGTGAGGATGCCTGCCTGGCTTTTTCCCCGGGACGAGGGTCTTCTCCTGCGCCCCCAGCTGCCCTCCTCCCAGCCTGGGTTCCGCACCGGTGCCTCACAACCTCACCTCCTCCAAGAGAGCCAGGTCGAAGCTCTCCACGTTCAGAAAGTCTCCCAGGCGCTTCACGCGGTCGGCCCGGTGCTTGCTCAGATAGGGAATGCCCCTAAGGAAGGGGAGGACCGGGCCAGGGGAGGTAACTGCTGGCACCACCAGCACTGGGGCCAAAAGTGGGCTTTGGAGATTTGGGTTCCCCCTGCACCCGAGATCGTAGGGCAAGATAGGGCCGTGGCCCGGCTGTGAGGAAGCCTGTGTGGCTATGAATGGGAAGGTGGCCCCAAGGCCACACTCCGCGGACACACTCACCAACAGTTGAGGTTGAAGACTCTCAGTCGCAAAGAGAAATTGGGCTTCATGGCCGGGACGCTCCAGGGACGCGGGACGGCGAGGAAGAGAAGGAGGGCGGGCCGGCGGCGCCTCCTCCCCCGCGGCACGCACAGGTGGTCGGCCCCGCCCCCGCGCTTCCAGGAGGGCCGCGGCCCCCAGGCCCGCGCGGCTCAGACCCTACTTGACCCCCGCGTTACCCCGGCAACCGGCCCGCCGGCCCGGATCTGGCTGCCCGCCAATCCGGAAAAGCGATCCGCTGCGAAGTCTGGGCGCCGACGGGTCGGCGAGGGGCACGCGTGGGGCCCTTGGGGGTCCCGAGAGGACGCCCGGGCGGGCGGCTTCCCGTTCCTTGTCCCAGGAGCTGGTCCCAGGTCTCACCAGCAACAGGCGCGAAATTGAGGATATGCCCCGTGACCGCCAGCAGCCCTAGGCCCGCCCCTGTCCCCGCCCCCTGAGAGCGGCGGGGGCGGGGGCCGCGCGGTTGCCTTGGCGACGCGCAGTGTTTGTGCTCCGGGGTGTCCCTGAGCGCCGCCATGGCTAGCCCTGCGCCGCGCCGGCCCAGGCCTGCCCAGTGCGAGGCGCGGTCGCCGCCCGAGCAGCCGCTGCAGGTGAAGGTGGTGGGGCTCTTCAAAAGCTCCAGCTTTCAGATGGCGAAGAGCATAGCTGAGGTAATGGCAAAGAAACCACAGGGGCGGACGTCTCAGCTGCGTGGACTGCGCGTCCGGCGCCTCCTGCTGGTGGCAGGGATCGGTGTTCTACCCCGCAGAGCAGGGAACTGGCGTGTTGTGGGTGGGCGGGCTTAGTCGGACCCGAGGAGAGTGTAGGGGCAGGTGCGGGTCCAGGACGGACGTTCGACTTCGAGAAGGGCAACCTTTAAAGGGAGATCTGGGTGAAGGAAGAATGCAGAACCTCGCTGAGGAAAAAAGCATTCCTCACACACATATCCGCAAAATTTATTGTACATCAACTTTTTTTTCTTTCTTTTTTTTCTTTTTTCCAGAGACAAAGTCTCCCTATATTGCCCAGACTGGTCTTGAAATCCTTGGCCTCCCAAAGTGCTAGGATTACAGGCGTGAGCCACTGTGCCCAGCCTTCAATTTTTTATTGAATTACAGATTTTAAAATTTATGAAAAAAATGATTAGGGCAAAGTGTTGCTATATAACTAGCTGACTTTTACAAACTTCCTCCTCAAGTGATTTTGAAAGCTATTCATTAAGGTTCTTTTCTTTAAATTTTATGTAGCAGTCTTAGATGCTTCAGAGATTTCTTAATAAATGGCCCGCAAGTGCTTTGGAGCAGCGATCCCCAACCTTTTTGGCACCAGGGACTGGTTTCATGGCAGACAATTTTTCCACGGACCGGGCGAGGGGGTTCGCACAGGTGGTTTCAGGATGATTCAAGCGCATCACATTTCTTGTGCAGTCAAACCTCTCTGCTAATGATAATCTGTATTTGCAGCCGCTCCCCAGTGCTAGCATCACCATCTCAGCTCTACCTCAGATCATCAGGCATTAGTCTCATAAGGAGACGCAACCTAGATTCCTCGCATGCGCAGTTTACAGTAGGGTTTGAGATCCCATGAGAATCTAATGCCTTGGCTGATCAGACAAGAAGCGGAGCTTAGGTGGTGATGTCTGCCATGCTCAGCGGCTGTAAATACATGTGAAGTTTCCCCGCTCGCCCACCGCTCACTTCCTGCTGTGTGGCCCAGTTCCTAACAGGCCACAGACCAATACCAGTCTGACACCCTGGGGCTAGGAACCACAGCTTTGGAGAATCATTTCTTTGTAAACAGTCTGAACGATATAAAAACACTTGAAGAAGCTGGAAGAATTTGGCCAGATCAGTCATGCTGCAGCATACTTACAACCTGAATGCAGGAAAAATGTAGAAATGTATGAAATGTTGGAATGTCTTTGAGGTTTGCTCCAGAAATGCTGTCTATGCCAAGCTTCTCTCCAAAACCTCACTAGACCTCAGGGCCATACCTTATTCATGTTTGTATCTCCCAAAGTACCCTG